TTTTAGCAGCTTACCAAAAGCTTTCAGGACCGAGACATCACAGTTGATTTTGTCCCATGTTTTCTGCAAACGATGGCAGATCCAGGTTCACATCTGCAGGTGCAGAGAGAGATATTAGTTTTTCTGAGCCACAAAAGCCACTTCCCTCCCTGAAGAGCTTTGCTGGGGGAGAAGCTGGCTGTGTTTGCAGCCTTACCCTCCCCTGGGCCCCTGGCAGGGGTCGGAGGGGCAGTCCTTCCACTCTGGCCATGCCCCTCCAGCCTGCTCCATCTGTTCTGGGACCACATGCACGACCAGTCCTCACCAGAGGGGAGGTTGAGGCTGCTGTGTGCTGTTCATTTGAGCAGATTTCTTTTCTTTCTCCTCTTGTTAGTGCTGGGAGCCCTGCAACCAGGCTCCCATTAGTAGAAGCTGGCACAAATTAAAAACAAATTTAGCCTTGGTGTCTGTGTTCTCAGTGAATTTCACCTCAGCTGATTATTTTTACGCCTTGTTGACAAAATGGTATGTGTGCATGGGGAGTCTATTGCAGGTCCCTGGAAAATGCCGAATGAATCACTTTGGGAATGCTAAAACACCCCAACATCCCTCCATGTGGAGCATGCACATGTGCCCACGTTTGGGAGACTTCAGGGCCAGAACAGGTCATCCACTGTGATTATTTGTCTCAGTAAATGATTTTTTTTCTCTTTTTCTGGTGCGTGTGCTCTCACTGCTTTGTCGTGATAACTGCATCTGCTGTTTCAGGCTCATCATAATCACCCCCTCCCCCCCCTCGCCCCCTCCTCTGAGTTGCCAGGCAGCGGACTGATGGTTTCAACGCCCATTGGGAACCCATTACTCAACCCATCGTGCGCTCGGGATTATTCACATTCTGCTGATGATATTTACGGTCACAGCTGCTAAAACGGTGTTTGCAAATTTATGCTGATTTGATTAGCCAGTTTAGTCATCATAGCTTCTAAGAGCAGGATCTGGCCATAAAATAGCTTTCTGCTGCATGTGACTCTCTAATGGTGTGTCACATGAGAGCACGAGCCTCAGCGCGGCGCGGGGCGGACAGAGACCATATGGTGGATCGAGGTCCCTCTTTGCCATCTCCAGAAAATGTTACACCTTCTGCAACTGCACAGCAAAGGATTATCAGCTCTGTCAAACCGTGTAACCATTCATCCGCCTGAACCTTATACCGGTGTGTTTGCAGGGGTTTGATCAAACTAGCCCTAAACCAGCTGTGCCACTGAATGCACGCGGTTTCCTTGCTGCGCAGCATCCTTTGTCCCATAGGCTGGTGTGAAGCTGCTCTGCCCCTTGCAGAGCTGTTTGGGTTTGTGCTGCCGCTGTTGTACCCAACCTGCTTTTGTTTCTGTGAGCTGCCCCATAGGTGCAACCCTTGGTTATACTTCGTGCCTCTTTCCGAGGTCTCTCTCCAAAGGGTTTGGGCACAGCTCACCATCTGGCTTTGGCTGTGGTGACACCGCTTTCTCTGCAGCAGCTACAGCAGAAATAAGCTCACTCCACCTTAAAATCCTGCCTGTTGACGTTAATAATAATAAAAAAGTCCAAAATTTTCTTGTCCCCCAGAGAGCTTTCTAAACCACTACCACTACTACAGATATGTTTCAACCATCTGTGTAATTTTGAATACTCTCTGGATGAGAAAGGAGCATTTGTTTAATAAGCCCTGTGTAAGGTGTGATGTTCTCTTAATATTTTAGGGCTACTTTTGCACTGGTAATGTATCAGTTCAATCTTTTCTTGTGGTGATTTCTGTAGCCTGGGCTGGAGCAGCAGTGCTGCAGTAGATCTGTAGACTTTCTCTCCTGGCAGCTCTGCCCCACAGCCTGCCATTCACCATCCCTGCTATTGCTGCCCTCACAGGATCCTTTCTGAGACAGTTTCTTCATTTTCTTCAAAGCCACTTTATTTAAGTGTCTTCTCAGACAAACACTGCCATGCCTCAGGTTTCTTGCTTGGTTTCTTTGAGCTTGTCCTCTCCTTCCTCTTATCCCCCAGGCCTTTCAATTACTTTTTAATGTTCTTCTGGCCTGTGGCCCCATCCAGGCAGTTTTTGAGCAGGGTACAAAGCAGTCGCTCAGCTGGGATGCCAAGATCAGAGCCTCTAACTGTAAGGCATAGGATAGAGCTGGACCTCCTGTTCTTCCCCACTGGGATTGGAGGTGCCAGGAGATTCAATCAAGCATCTGGTTATGCTGGAGGTGGGGTTGGCTTCTCTGGCTGCTGTAACACCTCACTAGATCCTCGTCCCTCTTTCTCTCTTCCTTCACTAAGTGATTCATAAAGCAGTGCCAAGCCCTGTGACACATTTCTAGGAGGCAGTGGCAGGGCCAGCAGCAAGTTGTGATGGCCAGGAACCATGAAGCAGGCAGCTCTGCTGGTGCCACTTGTTTTCCAGTGCAACTGCCATCATTTACCACCATGACCTTACTTTTCTGCCTCCTGTAGTGTACTGGATGGCTGGGTTTGGAAGCAATCCTGAGCTGAGGAGCAAAGCAGTGTCCACCTCCATTCACAGAACCAAAGAATGGCATAGGTTGGAAGGGACCTTAAAGGTCGTCAGGCTCCAACCCCTGCCGTGGGCTGGTTGCTCCCCACCAGCTCCCCAGGCTGCACGGGGTCCCATTCCACCTGGCCTTGAACACCTCCAGTGATGGGCATCCATTCCCCCGGATGGCTGCATCCCACCCACCTCAGGTCCAGGGTCCCCCAGTCTGTCCCTCGTTGGTGGATGGATGTCATCTCCAAAGGAAGTGAAAATATCACTGCAAAGGGGGAAGTGGCTCCTATGCAATGCTGACCATAGTTGCTGGGGGATTTAATGACAAAAAAAAGGTGTGCAATAAGGTGCACACCTTCAGATCCTTAACTGTGTGTCAACATGGAGATCCAAACCACAACCTTTTTTTCCAAGCTATGTGGTTCCCCTCCTGGGCCAGAGATCTGCATGGCTATTGCTTGGTTGTGTCTACAAAAGCATTGTTTGATGTCTTCGTTGTGCTTCATTTCAGCAAAATGTTTTGCTGTTTCTTTGCCATGAGTATTTAACACCTTATTCGGGGCTTTGTTTTTTCTATTCCGAACCTCAAGCTGAGGGTAGAGGGCAGATTTTGGAGAGAAGTGCGCAGATTTGTACCACGTTTTGATCAAGCTTATCTGTTCTGCACAGATTGCCTGCCCATATGAAGCAATTCCCCCTCTTGCCTGCATTAACATTTCCTGATGAGCCAGTGTGTTAATTTTGTGCTCAGTGGCTCTCTGCTCCCAGGCTGCTGCTGGCAGTGCGGCTGCCTCCCTTCTGCTGAGCAGAGCTGTGCGCTGTGCCCGGCTCTCACCGGGCTGCAGAGTGCGAATCCCTTCCCCAGCCAGGCAGGTGGCACCTCTTCTCCTCCAGATTTTATCCAAGAGGAGCCTTTTGCATTATCATATCTACAAAGAGATAGACTTGCTGACTTGGTCGAGACATAAAAGACATCTTCCGGAGCTCGCTGGCATGGCACCAAGCAGTGTCCCCCATTTGAGCTGATAAATTCAAGGAGAAGCTGGTCTTTCATGCCTCTGGAAGACTAAATAGCAAGCCAAGATGTGATACTGCAAGGCCACGATAAGAAGACACTAAATGACAAATGCTGATTGCATGGGAAGAACAAAGAGAACAAGAGTCCTGTGCTCCAGCGGCAGCAATGCCCAGTGTGCATCCTTTGTAGAGCAATCCTTGCAGCTCAGTGGAAGCAGCAGTTTTTCTCCATCCCAACATTCCTTCCTCTCCACTATTTGCTGTCATCACAAGTATGAGGAGCTAGGAGGGGGAAATGCCAGGGAGAGATTGGCTCAATTAAAAATAGAGAAAGTCCCCAAAGCTCTGACATGGTTTTGTCAGACAGGACTAATGACAGGTGATTCTGGTGAGGATTTCTCACCCTTGGGCAATGCTTCTCAGTTTGTCATCGCTGGGTGCAGGGCAGTGGGAAAGATGCAAAGAACAGAAGAAGCCCAGGAGGAGCATTGAGGGAGCCAACCTTGGGCTGACTGTAGCAGAAAATTGACATGAAAATTGCATTACAAATGTTTTCTCTTGCTGTATGCAGTGCAGACATTGAGACAGTTGGGGCAGGAACTGAAACTGCCTCACTACAGCCTGAGCCAGGACACAAGTCTTGTGACTCAGCCCCTCAACCTCCCCAAATCAGGGGACAAGAGTGAGAACCCCCTCCCCTTTCTCAAACAGAGGCTCTCTGGGCATATGAAGCATCAAGCTGTGCTCAGCACCCAGCAGGGCTGTACACTTGTTATAAGAAAAAGATGAAGTTCTGCATTTTCCTCCCCTTGATGCAGCAGCTGGTGCTCTGAGAAGCATCCCTCCCACCCACCTGCCCCTTCACCACACCTAAAATGTCATAAGCATTTCAGCAAACCCACGAGGACTGGCAGGATTGCTGAACAGAAGTGGCACAGTGATGCCATGGTGATGGTTGCTACTGAAATTCCTTCTCTAGGTGGGAGCTGATGAGGGAGGGAGCCTGCTCCTCGCCAGGCTGGGGTACAGGGCCCAACGAGAACAGCCTCAGTGCTTACTGCTCAATTGAGATTGTCCAGCTCCTCTTCTACCCCTGGCCCTGGTTTAAGAGAGCATGGTGCTATTTGCAAATGTGTAACATGGTTCAGTTTCACTGCTTGCGAGCTGATAGCCAGCCCACACTCCAGCATGGACCTTCTTGTTCATCACACAGTAACACTACAGGGCCATATTTCAGAACCACGGGAGAGCACAGGCTGGCTGATCTCCAGCCTGATTGTAGCGGAAATGCTCAGTCATGGCCTGAAGCAGTGATTGAGCACCTGGTGGGAAGGCAGGATCAATGCTGGGGAGCTCAGGTGCATGCAGTTTACCTGAGTGACCAGAAGGGATGGAGCCAGGATCCACCCCTTCCCAGACCTCATTTAAGTGTTGGCAGGGGGAGTAGTAAGGGTGTTTTGCTGGGGAATCTTGCTTACCTGAGGCCTTCTGAAGGTAAGCAACTTTTTTCTTTTTTTTTTTTTTTTCCTTTTTTTTTTGTGTGTCCCTAGTTTCTGCATTTGGGCTTCTTCTTACTTGCTCTAGCCTAGGAATTTGCTATTCTACTGTCATTGCTGTGCATTATCAATCCCTCCTTCAAAGTGCTGCATTTTTACTTTACCTGTTATGCTGCTAAGAACATGCTGAACTCACCCAAAATATGCTCTTGTGTAAGTTAATACAACTCAGTGATGTAGTGGCACCCTTTTGAATATACTCATTCAAGGTGCTTCTCCTCCTCTATGCAAATACTGGGTAATGGCTTTGAAGGGAGGATGCTGTTTTGCTGCGTGTTCTTTGCAGTGAATCAGGACATCTTGTCATGGTAGTTCTCCTTCTTGTGAGCACTTGACTCAAACCATCCAGACAGGGGAAATGAGGGTGCTGCTATTCATACCAATCTATTTGTCTACTCATTGCAGTGAGTATGTGGGAATGCATGGGAAGAAGAAAGCTTCCTCTCTTTCCCTGTAGACGTGTTGGGGCAATGTGCCGTTATCAGATCAGTGGTATTTAGATGCTCAGACAGAAAGATAGGGTTGCTTTGGTCTCAGCTTCTTGTATATTCTAATGGATCTCATTTTCTTAGCCTTGAAGGCAGGTCACTAGACAGCCTGTCCTGCCACCCATGACCTCAGAAGGAGCTATAGGGCAAGGCCAATAAGTTGGCATGCTGAGGGATGGCTGCACTCCATCCTCAAAACACTGTGGGGTGCATCCCAGTGAAGTGGGAGCTTTGCGTGGCTGGCGTTGCAGGAGCTGTGCCATGTTCAGGGCACAGGCTGTGTGTAACTTGGGATCTATAGTCATCTCTTTTTGAGTCAGGCTAGGCTTGTGTGTGCACACAGCTGTGTACCTGCCCTAGTATAGGGCTGGTGCAAGGAAGCTGTGCATGCTCTCAGGATAGCTGCTTCTTTCTCAGAGAAAGAAGGACCTTTCTCTCAACGTCCTCTTTAATATTTTGGGAACGGAAGGAGGAAAAAAATCCTTCTTCCCTTATGTTTTGTTGTGTTTGCTTATGCGCACAGAGTGTAAAACATGGGAAAGGTGACAGAGCAGAACTTGGAGATGCTTGGTGGAATTTGTCTTCATTTTTTGAACATGTGTGAGTTGTCAGTGTCCCCGCTCCATGTGGCAGAGGTGGAGGAGCCCAAGATTGTCAAGTAAGTGTTTGCCTTGCCCAGAGCTATGGTCAACCTTGGCATTTGCCTCAGCCCTCTTTATGGTGCTCAGCTGAGCATGGTTAACCCTGGGGAATGGCTGTGGGCTTGCAGGTCTCAAAGCGCATTCATTTTCCTGGGCTTCTGTTATGTTTTGGGAGTGCGGAGGTGATGAAAGCCCCCTACTTTATGGCTGTACCTCTGATAGCCCACTCTCTGGGCACATATGGGCCACAGAGAAGCCTGCAGTTTATTTTTGAGGGGTAGCTGCCCATATCACGTAGCTCTCAAGCTTGTTTTCTATTTTTAAGCATACTAAAATTGCACACCCAGTGGTGAGCTTGTTAGGTGCTCAGGCTGCCTGCACAGCAAGCCATGTGCTGTGCTACCTCCAGCTCTGGGCAAACCCAGAGCCCAGCCAGTCAATGCTGTCTCCACAAGGAAGGAAGAGAAGAAAGTCACATCTATGGTGCTGTGTCAGCTTTCATAACCACTTCAAGCTATTAGCTCTGAAGATTTTTCAACTTCATCCATATGAAGTGCATTCTGCCATTCTGTTCCTGGTAATATGCGCTAGACTCATTTATTTATACTGCTTTCAAAGTTCCCAGGCAATATATTGGTACCAGAGATGTGCTGTCCCTTCATTGAGAACTCTGGGAAATGTCTAAGGACAACAAGCACCTGATTTCCCCTGTAATTCTCTAGAGATTTATGTGCTACTGTAATGAGAGTGAACGTGGAGCAGCAAGCAGATGTCAGAGATGTATAGCTCTGCCTATGGTTTTGGAAGAGGACGACCTTTGTATTCTTAGTTTGTGCTTTGAGTAGGAGGATGGGGAGAAAATAACCGTGTGGAGCTGGGAAAGCCAAGCTGTGCCACATAAAAGGGATTGTCAGAGCTCTGTGTTTGAGTTTGAATCATTCCTTAGGTCTGAGGGGGGGTAGCTGATGGTCAAGATGTTTGTATCTATCAGTGCAGCTCCTTGGATTGGCTTCCATTTGAACAGGGATCGACTGGGAGACCTTTCTGCCTGTCACCTCAGTCCTGGCCACCTCTTGTTTACATGAACTTAATTTTCTTTCCCCATCATTTTGAGCTTTTTGGTGTTGAATCTGGGAGCAGTCTCTTCTTTGTATTGTTTGCCTTTGCAATGAACTTTCCAGGTGAATGCAAGTTCAGGAGAGAGCAGAGGACTCCAGTGCATTATGCTCATTTTGCTATAGTGCAGCACAAGCATTACCTACAGCCTAAAAACTGGTGTCAGCAGAGTGTGAATGATGCCAAGGACAGACCCTAAAGCAAGTAATGCTGTGAGGGGAAGCAGCACAACTGGAGATGTGTTCTTTCCATGCTGTTTAAAGATGGAGCCAGTAGATGTGGGAGAACGGAAGTCTACACAGAGCCTTGCTACCATAAATAAATGTATAGGTTTCAAACTGGACCTTGGCTTTTGCTAGATACATTGCTAGTATTGTTTGCATGCTCATCACGTGGTTCCTGTGCAGCAGCACAGGAGGGGCACATACAGATACATCCTGTATGCTTACATGGGCTTCTGTGTGAACTTTGTTTCAAAATACCTTTGGAGTGCCCTAACTGTAAGCTCTGGTTTTGTCCCAGCAATCCTGTGCCTGGCTAGTGGATGTTGTGTAGTATCAGTAGATAAGGGGTAATTTTAGTTTTGTAAGTCACTTTCCAAGTTGGAAATAGGCTATGAAAAGCCTGTGTGTAATAAGACATCTGGGGCTTACTCATCTGGGCTCTCACATGGGCTCATTCGGTGCTGTGGTTTCTTTCCAGAGTGATAAAGCAGAAGTTGTCACTGTTAATTGAATGCGAGTCCCAGCACCCTCTTCTAGATGTATAAGCTGCCATGTACTGAAGGAGGCAAGAATCAGAGCTGTAACATTCAAATCTAGAGCCATATGCCATACTACATGTACGCTGCTAACTGCAGCTGCATCCCGCAGGTAATGCTGTGCTCCTCAGCACGATTAGTGATTGTGGCTTTGTGCATCTCCAACAGATGATGTGGCTATGCATGATTTATGTAGCATGGAGACAGCTTTGTACGTGGCTGAGATGTGACGTTGGAGGCTCTTTATGTGCCTCAGTAGCACAAGGCTGGAGCTTAATGAGGAGGTAATTCATGTTCTGTCTGCTTTGTGAGTTTGCTGCTGCAAATACCGGTGGGCCCATAGAAATGTACCCATGTTGCCCAGTGCTCCTCTACCCATGGGGTGACCCAAGGGGAAGGGTTGTGGGGATGCCAGTATGACATGAGGGCTGTGTGGTGGGTATGCAGCTGAGCTAGGGCAGGGACCTGGGCTGAAACCTGCCAGCTGTAAGCACTCCCATGGACTGGAGGAGGAGGAGGCGGCAGCTGGGTGTGGGACAGCTTGCACCCTCTGCCCTGCTGTGTCCAGGCATATGTATTTCTCTTTACATACTGCAGATGTTCGCTGCTAAGCTGGTTTTGGCTGGGTTGCCCAGCTGCTCCTTCCTGTCCCCAGCACAGTGAGGGCAGCTCTGGCTGTGTGAAGGGGCATTCTGCCCCATCCTCACCTGCCATCCCTCTGGGTGTTCAGCACATCTGACTTTGTGCCATTGCAGTCACCACTGACTGTAGCAGATTCACACAGATGAAGTTCATCTTGGCAAATATCTGAGTTGTTTGTTTGAGGGGAAAAATCTTCCTCGTTTGGATGAGCACCCCAGAATTTAGGGACAGCTTTGTCCTCTTTAGCAGTACCGCCTAGGACTGCTTCCTCATCTTGGGTTTCCCAAGGAAAATAGGTGACCCAGGAAGAGAAAACATAAAGGAGTGGGCCAGATAATTTATTAAGGGCTTTGCAATGGCTTAGACTCATAATAAGGGAGTGTGTTGTGTTTTTTTTTTTTTTTTTTTTTTTTTTTTTACATCACATCCTCAGTGAGGGCAGAGCATGGTCTCATACAAGCTGTAATCCCATTTTAAAACAGTGAGTAAATGGGGTGCTTGCAGAACAGAGAAGAAATGGAGCCTGGTGTGCACCAGATGCTGCATGGCAGCCTGCGGGGCTGTGTCCTGGTGCTGAGGGCCCCAACAGCCCCTGTGCCAACTGATAAGCAGGGAAGGCAGCACGTGGGGGTTGCGACCAGCACTGGGAGCCCTCAGGTCTTGGTGTTGTGCTGGGCTTATTGTTTCTATGAGCTGATTTCATTCCTCTGTGTGTGTGTGTGTTGGGAAGGTTGCTTTGTTTGTTTTTATTTTGACACTGCTTAAAAATAAACTCCAATCTGCTACAAATTTGGCATTTCCCTCCTGCTGGCTGGGTGCTGACGTGTTCCAGGATAAGGAGTTGAAGCTGGGAGTTGTGCAGGAAAAAAACATTTGAGCAGGTTGGAGTATGGCTTTATGCTGGAGTGCCCTTAGGAGCTATCCTGCCCAGCATCATGGGTGCACCCTTGTCATTCAGGTGGCTGGGGATCTGTGGGAGCTGAAGCCACTGCCTTCATGGAGAGGTACGTGGCACTCAAGGTTATAGGCAGGAGATGCTCTTCAGTGAAACTGCACAGACATCTTACAGCAAACCCTGTGTTTGCAGCCAGCCAGACTCCCTCCCTACCTCTACGTTTTGCAGTCAGAACAGGCATAGTGCCAGGACCCCCACATCTGATTCTCTGAAGAGATGAGTTTCCCCTATTTCTGCTCCCAAACCGTGCTACCTATGTATGTGTGCACACTCACATTTGCTTTTTCCTTCTCCCTGCTGCTGGTGCACACAGCATGAAGTACCCTGCGTGCACTCACAGCCCCATGCCCTCATCCAAATCTCCTAGGGCACAGGGGCATCACTGCCCCCTGTTTGGTCCAAGAGCAGCAATGGGATGGGTGGGAGGGAGGCAGTCCTTTGAAAGCTGTGTTGCCATGGCTCTTAGAAGCACACTGGGAACACAGGGCTGCCTATGCATTGCTATCAGATTTGTTTTGTTCGGCTTGGTCCTCATGCAAGGATGAAGCTTAAAACAATATCAAGTGAATGTGCTGACGGGGGCAGAGGGCTGGTAACAAAGGAAGTTCCTGAATCACATTGTGCTAATCTAAGCATTTTGGGAGAGCTTGTAGTGTAGTCTTTGTGAGCAAACTTCTCATGTTAGGATGAGGTCGGTTTCGGAATTGTCAAATAGAACATGAGGAGTTTGGCAGTGGTGAGAGATGCTGTCACACAAACCCTTCCATCTGTCTCCAAGAGGGAAGTTAAATGCAATTAACAACAAAAGGCTCCTCTATGCTGCCCTGCTTAAATGCATAATTCGGGTTGTAGGAGCGAGCCTGTTCTCCTGACACGTCCTATAAGCAGCCTTGGGTAGCAGTGCCAGCCAAGATGACGATATGGACAAACACCAAATGTTGCTGTGTTCTGAGATGGAGATGCCTGCCCAATGGAAACTGGGTGGGAGCCAAACTCATTTAGCATCAGCCATCAAACAGTCATGATTTGTATCAATTACAATCATAATTGTAATCTTTGACAGGTGCATCAGGGATACTTCTGGTGAGACTGCTGCTTGCCCTAAGCACATCCAGAGCTGTGTGACAGCAGGGTGATCTTGTCACAGCCTGCGTAGCGCCCCACCAGCAAAAGCTTCTGGGAGGTAACTTGAATATCTGAGCAGATCTGTTCTAGCCAACCCTTTGTGCTGTACCTGAACACGTATATAGACACGCAGAGATGCAAGGTCACTTCTACTGGTCTTTTGATGACCACGGGGTGACTCTGAACATGCTGTCCTGGCAGCTTTGTGGCTGAGGTGATCTCACTGAGGTGACGCAGCAGGGCTGCAGTCCAGCCAAGAACAACCCAACCTCCACCTGTGCCCAGGCAGCAGCTTTAACCACCAGGCTGCTTCCTGCTAAATGTGTCAGCTGGCACTGTCAGCAAATGCAGAGCTGTAAGTCTTTGCCCTTTGTGTATGAACAGTACTTATCAATGGTACATGCATGGATACTAAAACC